AGCGACCGTGAGTCCTGTCTAGTAGTTGGTCGGTTACATAGTCCTCATCAATTTGCTGTGTTAATGTTTCGACACGGACATGTGAGGCTGCATTAGAGACAACGGCGAACAGACTAGAGCCAAAGGAATCCATTCAACTTCATCTCTTATCTCGGTTATTAAGAGGTTCATAAACAAAAATTTAAAACTGCCTGAAGTCACTTTAACATATCGCTTAAAGTCACGTAAACTTTACTTCATTGTTTACTTTTGCAATCTTTGAATCTCTGAGACCTCTCCTTTCCCGGGGTCTTCACAACTGAAATTCAAGCGTTTATTCCTCACGAAACGCTATTTTCTGTCAAATTAAACCGTCATGCAGAATTGACTCAAGTTTTTCCTCGAACGAGGAGCAAAACAAAACCTTTTCCATATGTCTAAGAAATTCCGTGTCTCATTAATTTACAGCAGTCCTCATTTTTCATGCAAGTGAATAAACCCCACTAAGGTAGTGTCTATAAGGCAAAACAACAAAAACTTGACCATCCACACACAACCCAGCAAATTTTCCTCAACTTCTCCCTTTTTTCAAGCTACTAAGCCCAGGGAGAGGGAGGGAGAGAGGTAGAGATTGGGAGGGGAGATTGTGGTGCCTCACTCTTGGGGGCGAAACCCGCAAAATCAAAAAAGATCATTTCAGCGCCCAAATTTTATCTACAACCACTAACGCGGCGTAGGCTGCCTCCACTTTCTCTCTCGCTTTTTTGATGGTTTCGTACAGGCGTTTTCCAAGTTGTGGATTTGGTAGCAGCGCACGCAAAATGCCTAGGGATTAGAAAAGCGTTGTGCTGTTTAATGTGACCAGACACAGGGAATCAATCCTTTGATAGGAAATTTATTTTCTCCTTCCCAGTTTTATGGCATTATTTTCTTAGACCAAACGATTGGAGGATTCTCTTTTAATGCTGACCGTGACCATGGCGACAAGTACATCCCTTATGCTGCTATTAATAAATGTATGCAAACATAATTGCTTTTTTTACTCTTCTGGTATACTGAACTTCCTTTTGAGGCACTTGTCAGTCATTATTAAGGTGGAGACGACTTGACTATCGAATTTTACCTTACACTAGAAAATACGGAACCTTGATTGTGGGCTCTTATTTAATCTAAAGGGTCTCAAATGGCACGGCGGTTTGTCTCCCAAGTTTTTTTTTCTTACCTCTGTACCCTTTTGCCTTGTCTCGATTCCCTCACCTTCAATGCTGGCAACAGAGCATTTCTGCTCTGTAGTATACCTCACTGCATCCTCAGGAGGTTCTAAAGATGTTCAACTTTTTTCTATGTCATAATGCGTAAGGCTGCTAGCATGAACCAGCGCGTATGGAAGCCAATGCATTAAGACACCTCCTTCGGGAGTTGTTTGTTTAAGTGGACCCAGTGTAAAACCTCGCCTTTTGAAACAACAGTTGCACAAATAAACCGTATTAAATGTCGTTCGGTATTGTTTTATATGCATAAAAAAGGGTGAAGTGACTCAGTTTAGTAACATTTGAATTTACAAAACCACCTAGTTTAATAACCTAAATAAGAGTGTGAAAGCAGACGTAATTTAAATGTACGGGGAGTTTGAGGAGGCATGGGCGTGACCAAGCAGCCGCGCGGCCAAGCGGAAGCGCAGGTAACAGAGAGAGGGTGAAGAGTATCGTAGTCGAACAAATGTTAAAACATATCACCAAGCCATTGTCCTCAGTCCTTTTCCTGATTAGTCATTTACAACTAAGAGTGAGAGTCGTTAAATTTGATCTCCTTGTCAATAAAAGTGTTGAGGACCGAAGGCAAAGGTAGGCTAAGTGGAATCTTCAGCACCCAGTTTCATAATGCTCATCGTTAACCAAATTTCTTTTAACGCTCTTAGTAACGTTCAAATACGACGCTTCCTTGGCAGTTTAGGTCCATTTGACAAGATTCAAGGAGTGAGGGTGGATGGCAGTCGATGAGATTTATGCCAATATTCGAAAGCATTGCACAGCACACCTTCGTTTATCCATAAGACATAAGACATGAAGGTGGATGGTTTTCTTTGGTTCTAGTCTGTTCGCCGTTGTCTCTAATGCAGCCTCACATGTCCGTGTCGAAACACCAACACAGCAAATTGATGAGGACTATGTAACCGACCAACTACTAGACAGGACTCACGGTCGCTTACGTAGACAAGGACAGATTCAGTGGGAGGAGGCTCAGGACCCCACCTCACAATGTGAGCATTGGATGATGTGTCACACCACTGCACATTTATATGGACATGCCTGTCCTGTGTGTGCACACTCTGTTGTCATTAGCGAGTCACACTTCTACTGGACTGTGTGAGAGGAGACGTTGAGTTCGTGCTCACTTCAAGGAGGCAGCGGTACTGGTGGAGTGGGCGAGAAGGAGGAGGAGGAGGAGGAGGAGGAGGAGGAGGAG